CAAGAACCACCCGCCTCTCCATCCTCCTCCCCCGCCTTCCCCTACCCCTCTTTTCTCTAAACACTAGGATGCACAGGGTCTCTGCTTCGCAGCCACTGGCAGTCTAGTTAGAGGAGAGACCCGGCTGGGGCCCTGTCGTGAAGCCACCTGTGCCATTCCCTTAGTGATAACACAAAGAATACATAACAGAAAAACATCTGGAGTTAATCAGTCTAATCAGGAAAATCTAATTCTTGTTCCGTGTAAGAATCAGCCGACCACAACCGCTGATCCTGAAACTTTGAAACTTGCTATGCTAAATGTCAGATCTCTTTGTAACAAGTCTTTTTTAATCAATAATTTTATTTGTTCTTATAATCTAGATCTTATGTTCATGGCTGAAACATGGCTTGACCAAAATACAGAAAATGCAGTTTTAATAGAAGCATCACCACCAAATTTCAAATTTGAATCTGAAATACGGGAAAACAAAAAAGGAGGAGGCTTAGCTGCCATTTTCAGAGACCACTTTGTCTCCCATAGAATGTCTCTTGGGAAGTTTCCGTCTTTTGAATATGTGTCTTTTAAAATACAACAAAAACAATCTCCTCCAATACTTTTCGTTGTCCTATACAAGCCACCGCAGTCATGTCACAGTTTTATTGATAATTTTACAGAGTTGCTTTCAGTTGTATGCACAGATTTTGATAGTTTAGTTATTACAGGTGATTTTAATATTCATGTGGATAATGTTGATGACAGAAATGCTAAAGAGCTGAGTTCTCTTCTTGAATCTTTTGGTCTCACTCAGCATGTGAGTGGCCCCACCCACAGCAAAGGGCACACTCTAGACCTGTTAGTTACAAAGGGGGTGAATATTTCAAATGTAAACGTGGTAGATGTTGCTCTTTCGGATCATTTCTGTGTTTTTTTTTACATGTGTTTCACTAACAAACCACCAGTGGACTCTGCAACTGTACGAAGAAGACACATAAATGAAAATACGGGTGAACTATTTATGGGAATGATAAACTTTGAGAATGCATCGTATTCTACTGTAGATGAACTGTTTAACTCTGTCACCTCTAGTGTTTTGAAAGTTCTGGACACCATCGCTCCTGTGAAGGTTAAAATAGTGAAAAATAAGCAGAAGGCGCCGTGGGCTAAAGCAGACTCGGTCAGAGCACAAAAGAGAGAGTGCCGGAGGGCCGAGCGGAAGTGGCGCAAGTCCAACCTCCAGGTTGATTACAAGATCTTCAAAGATAAGTTGTGCGAGTTTAACCAGGTGCTACGTAGTACAAGAGAAAGGTATTTTTCTGAAATGATTGAAGGCTGCAGCAACAATCTGCGTGTTCTGTTTTCAACAGTTAATAGATTAACAAACCCCCCTGTTCAAATGCCATTAGAGCTAACTTCCAAACGTAAATGTAATGAGTTTGCACATTTTTTCAATGACAAGGTTCAAGGCATCAAAAACGCCATTGTCTCCAATCCACAGATAACAATCCAACAGCCAGAAAGGCTCTTTGAGCAAACTTACTTTGCACCTGTAAATGATCAAACTGTCCAAGAGATAATCTCCAGTTTGAGCTCCTCCACATGCAGCCTGGATGTACTACCCACTAGATTTCTAAAGTCTGTTCTGAGCAGTCTGTTACCTTCACTCACACAGATAGTAAACATGTCCCTTGATTCTGGAATATTCCCAAAGGCCCTGAAAACTGCAGTCATCAGGCCCCTGCTAAAAAAGAGCAGTCTGGATGCTACGGTACTTAACAACTATCGTCCCATCTCAAATCTGCCATTTATGGGGAAAGTCCTTGAGAAAGTTGTCTACCTACAGCTTACTAGATTTCTTATAATCAACAACTCATTTGATATGTTTCAGTCCGGCTTTAGACCCCACCACAGCACTGAGACTGCTCTCGTTAAGGTTACAAACGATATCCGGCTGAACACTGACGCAGGCAAAGTCTCAATCCTAATCCTGTTAGATCTAAGTGCTGCCTTTGATACTGTCGACCATGAGATCCTCTTACAGAGACTAGAGGACTGGGTTGGCGTCGCTGGCACCGCCCTAAGTTGGTTTAGGTCTTACCTTGAAGACAGGAAGTACTTTGTGGAGATTGGAAACTGTGTCTCAGATCATATGGCCCTGACCTGTGGAGTACCACAGGGGTCGATCCTGGGACCCTTCTGTTCAATCTCTACATGCTGCCGTTAGGTCAGTTAATACGCAGAAACAAAGTTTCCTATCATAACTATGCAGACGACACTCAGATCTATGTCTCACTGACTGCAGGAGAACATGGACCAGTGGACTCACTCCTTCACTGTATCCAACAGATCAGTGAGTGGATGCAAAACAACTTCCTTCAGCTAAACGCAGACAAAACTGAAATGATTGTCTTTGGTCCCCAGAAACAAAGAGAGAGCGTCATCTGTCACCTACAGTCTCTCTCCCTAAAACCTTCAAACAAGGTCAGAAATCTAGGGGTAATACTGGACTCAGACTTAAATTTTAATAGCCACATCAAATCAGTAACATCAGCAGCTTTTTACCATCTAAAAAACATTGCCAGGATCAAAAACATAGTGTCTAAAGCAGACTTGGAGATTCTTATCCATGCATTTGTCTCCAGTAGGTTAGACTACTGCAATGGCCTGCTCACAGGTCTGTCCAAACAGGCGTAAAACAGCTGCAGTACATTCAAAATGCAGCAGCTCGAGTCCTGACTAGAACCAGGAAGTACGACCATATTAGTCCGGTCCTCAGGTCTCTGCACTGGCTTCCTGTGGCTCAGAGAATAGACTTTAAAACAGCTCTGCTTGTGTACAAATCTCTCCATGGCCTCGCACCAAAATATATTAGTGACATGTTAGTCCCATATGAACCAGCCCGGACTCTGAGGAGCACAGGGACTGGACTCCTGTTAGTGCCCAGAGTCAGAACTAAACATGGGGAGGCTGCTTTTCAGATTCATGCTGCTAAAATCTGGAACAATCTTCCTGAAGATGTGAGACAGGCCTCCTCTCTGACAATGTTTAAAACCAGGTTAAAAACGGTGCTGTTTAGCTGTGCATACAACTGAGGGATTTTATATTTTTATCTTTCGTTTTAATGTTCTGTAATTATTAAGATTTTAATGCTATCTTGTTCAGCACTTTGAGTTGCCTTGTGTATGAATTGTGCTATACAAATAAACTTGCCTTGCCTTGCCTTGCCTACGTTTCATGCCCGCATTGTTTGTTCATACAAAACGCAAAACTAAGAGTTATGGGTCTTACCTTATAAATGACCTGCACAGACCACTTCGCTTCAGACCAGTTCCATGTTTAAGTCCAGATAATAGTTTGAGCGTAGATATGTAATCCTCCATTTGGAAATGAGTCCAATGAGTTTTAAAAAGCAAAACAAAACGTGTGTGTCCTCCATAAACTCCTCTGTTTTGCTGCAGCCGACTGCATCCGATTTCTAAAATCAACCGTCTTACACTTCACCTCTCTTTCTTATCATTCCTATAGTCATTGAAAAATTACCCTAAGTGCATTTTAAATTATCTTAAATATGTTATATGTATGTTAGCCAAACCTGTTGCTGTCCTTAGCAGATAAACCAGGAGGAGAAAGGAGCTTATCGATGGAATTGTATGCAGCCGACTTCTGCGCTCACATGCGCTCTTCTGAGGCTGGCCTCACGGTGATACAAGCCGTGGTAGAGTGTGATTAAGACCCATATTTGTTTCAAAAACACAATTTATGAGCAATCCTCTCAACTGTAGACATGTAGATTGTAAAGGAAATATGTTTTACATCAGCCAATAACTGCTGAGAGGTTTTCTCATCCTTCTCTCATGACAACACGCGCACGAGTCCTATCACGAAGTAAAAAGAGAAGTTCACTGTGCGTCTTGAGTAACGCGCAGTAACGGGATGTCGGAAATGATAACGGCGTTATAGTTACAGTCAAAGTAATTAGTTAGATTACTCGTTACTGAAAAAAGTAACGGCGTACTAGTAACGGCGTTCCCATCACTGGAGCTTGATGACTTAAAGTGATAGTCTGTAACTCTAAATTAATTACAAATTTTAGGAAATGTGCTAAATTGACCTCCTGGCCTTAAATGTTGATATAAAATAAGTCATTTTATTAATTCTAATATTACGGGCAAGTCCCGCCTTCCCTGCTCTTAGCTATAGTTCAGAATCCACGGTGCCGTCGAGGTTAACCAATCGAGTCATGCCAAGGGCTGTCAATCATCGCCGCTGATGCTCGCAGCTGCGCGCATGCTCAGTTGTTTTCGCGGAGCTTCCGAATCAAGCCTCTATTAGGCTCTGGAACAACATGAAAACTGAACAAAGAATTCTGAACATACGGGCTGAGGTACTTATGTATATTCTGAACCTATATCCATAATCAGATCCTCTGCAGATGTGTCCTATAATGTGCAATTCGTGATAATAGAACTTCCTGGTTTGCCGCGATCGCTTTTTTTGTGCATAAAATTTTTTTTTTCATTAAAACGTTCACAAATAATTCTGAAAACCTCCGTGCATGTGTATTAATAATGTATATGTATAATGTGTTCTCTGATTAACATTTCAAAGTGTTACGGAAACGTAGGTGTAGACCAATCAGAAAGGAAGGGGGAGGGAGCTTGCGTCGTTTTTTTCAAAACAAGTACCTCTCTGTCTCTTTCTGACAAACTCCAGACAATCACTTTAAGTTGATGACTAACTACATAAAAACAGTTGGCCTGTCTCTGTAACGGTGGTCAGAGGAGTCAAGGGAGAGCGATGATTTTCTATTAAACTCAATGCCAAATGACAAGGGAAAATACTTAAAACACACTCATAATATGTGAGTCTGTTTTGTATGTTCGAATGTATGTATGCCCATTTTAAAAGATTACACTTGATCATGTGTTGAATGGATTTCAACCAAACAGTATCCCAATGCTGTTTAAATCCCATATTACACATCTTAAACTATAAATAAACCGTCACAAAGTTAATCATACCTTGAAAAGCATTGAGGATGCAGGAGACGAACAGAATGAAATCCGTGAGTGGTCCGAAGTCCAGGAAGGTGAGGCTCCAGCTGGTCCCGAAGAGGCAGCTTAGGCCCCAGATGCTGAGGAAGGCCACGCGGTTCTGTCTCCACTCGTCGCGGTTCCGGATCTCTCTGTAGACCAGGAGGAGCATGACCAGTCCGGAGGTGACCAGGACGGCCACCAGCGTCAGGTTGGTAACGTAGTGTGCCAGCAACGCCTTGTTGTTGTCTTTCATCCAGCACCTTCACAAATACATACACGAAAGATGTGTGTCAATATAAACTCAGGGGAAGACAAAAGCATGTTACTGGTCTTACATTTTGTATGGAGTTGGATCATCAGTTTGGTGAATCTCTCGCAGACCATAAATATCTGAGATTATTGCCAAGATGATTACTGGAATGGCTGGTGCGGCTGTAACAAAAGTGGACACAAAATAACCTCAATATTTACTAAATGTTAAAAACTGGAGTTAACTAATGCACGTAATTGCACTTGAACTATTCTAATGAAGAAAATAATAATAATAATAATGCATCGGTTTTATATAGCGCTTTTCTGGACACTCAGACGCTTTACATGTCATTATTCTTTCACTCCAAACACGGTGGTGATAAACTACTACTGTAGCCACAACTGCCCTGGGGCACACAGAAAAGGGAAATCCACCCTGATTCACAAATGCTGCTCTATGGTTGTGCTATTGGACCACAACCATAGTAAGAAGTATTTCTACAACTGGCGTGCGATATCGAGTGGTAGAAGTTTAAGAGTTGCCTCTAGTCAATCTCAATCGTATGTCACAGTTCATTACATACCATCCACAAAACACATAAAAAGCTTTTCCTTTATATGATGGATATCATTTATGAATTCAGTTAATTAAGACAAGTTCATTAGAGAAAGTAGAGGTGCTCTGATCAGGATTTTTGAGGCAGATCACTAATAATCTTAGTTATGGATCGGCCGAACACAGATCACGGTCAATACAGGCTTTGTGAATTATGAATTGAATATTAAACATATGAGTAATTTCATGGCTTTAACTTTGTGCATATTGTATCACAAAAAGGGATTTTGTGATTAACCCATGGAATTGGCTCATTCTGATCAGTGGGCGACAGATCAGAGCAACTTCAACAATGATGTGTTTACACTCAAACCAGTTTGAAACAGTAAAAAACCCTCGCACAGAGTGACAACAAGAGGCTGGAACAGATTCAATTCATCCTCATCATACGAGTGCTTACCGAAGCCAACCAGGTCCCAAATCCAAGCTTTTGGAGCAGGGCTGAATACCATCTGAACCAACCAGAAAGTATGAAAAACTTCGATGCCCATCCAGGTCAGGGAGCTGAGCAGAGCGTAGTGCAGGGCCGCCGCCACCCAGCCACACACGCTCTCACACACATTGGCCAACACTCCAGTGAAGAAGAACAGCAGGTAGAGCAGGGCCAGAGACACGGCCAGGCCCATGTGAATCGGGATGGAAAGCTCTTTGGAACGCCGACTAGGAGGAAGTGAAGTAAGTTATTGTTGATGCACGAGGAGGTTAAAGGCAAACAAAACAACACTTACCTCTTTCTGTAAAGGAAAATGATGAGAGCGACGCAGCTGATGAGCGACACAGCACAGCCCAGAGATGTGATAGCAGTCAGGGCCAGCAGATGGCGCACTGGTTTAGGTTCCAGTTGCTGATGAGGAGGAAGTGTTGGTTGTAGAACATGAGAGGTATAGAACATGGTCAGATGTAGAGAGAGTCTTTAACAGCACAAGTAACAAATATCTACATGTGATTTTAATGAAGATTATTTTCATTCTTAAACAAAGATTATTTTCTTCAGCTTTTTATGTTGATTTTTGTGTGCATTTGACCCAGAAGCTGTAAGAGAAGGCAGCATGGTGACTAAAGTGCTCCAGGATCAATAGTTTTGTAGGTTTTCTGGTCCTTATGCAGATTTTGCGTTCCCCATTATCATTTTCTTTATTTCAAATGTAATAAGTTGCGTGTTTTGGTCAATCAACTCCATTTTAAGCATCCTTTGTTTTATTGTGCCCATTTTCGCCCTGTCAAATCTAAAGCTGACTATAGTGGATATTCTCGAGGACTTACCACGAGGACAGTGAAGAAAGTCAGATGGTTACAGTGACATTCTGTCTGTGTGTCTCCTTTAGCTTGTGTTTCACAGCCTTCCATCGACCAGTTCACCTTCAGGGGGTCTAAGGGATGCAAATGATATTTACTGAAACAGCAACAATAAAGTTTGAGGCAAGCAGACAATTATGTGTACAATCATACCTCGTCTGGCATCCCACGAAACACATTTTCTTGAGTGACTTTTCTAAAACAGAAAGATAATGATCAGTTTCAGTTAAAGCTGAGGTTAACACTAACTTCTTTTAAAGTCCTTCACAGCTGTCACACACTGGAACTTATATTTTTTTTTTGGTTATAAAAACGTAAACAGTAAAACAACATCTTCCTGCTCTGCTGTGTAGGGCCAAATGCGTCAAAGTTCATGCTAATGTGAAGTTCTGACTCACAGGTATAACATCGTGGTGGAATCCTATTTTGATTGGCTCTGATAAGTCTTTGATGATTTCATTTTCGATGGTGATGCTGACCACATCACTGAGGATTTTGCCATTAGTTGGAGCCTCCTGAAATACAAATCATGCATTACTACAATTACCTACAGAGAGTGTCTTTACAAATACAGAACTATACCTGGAATAGTGAGTTGTTCCGGAAGTAGGTGCAGATGACTTCATTATTAGATTGTGTAGCTTTCTTTAGAGCAGAGGGTAAATGGATTGAAGGAATAACCTCTGGTTCAACACCTTCTGGTGGCTGTCAAAATAAAAGAGCATTGTAAGAATAACCAGTAGAACCATGAACAACAAGGCTGAACAGAAACAGTGTAATGGAGGGTTCTTTCATCCTGCTTTAACAGTGTTGCATCACAAAACCGTACGTCTGTTTTTAGTCAATAATCGGAATGTTAATTTGAGCAAGTCTGCACGTGCCGTACTTGTGGACAAAATGTGAGAGTGCCCCAGCAGCGCTAAGAGCACAGGGGTAATGAGTAGAAGAGCCGCCAGATTGGTGCTTGGACTTACAAATGTGTCTATTTAAGGAGAAAACGCTGGTTTGTAACAGCCATTCTCTACTTGTCAGGAAAAGACTGTGACTCTAAGTCTCTGATGTGGTTAAACTGGCACCTCTTTTCCATCTAAACACTGACAATCCCTTATTTTAAAACCCTTTAGTTAAATGAATGTGATTCCTAAACTATAGTATAGGTGCAGTTACAAGGGGAGCTTAGACGATTCAGCCTGAACTTCATGAAATATAACTGCTGTGTATGATAATATAATCTTACAGGTAAGGTCACATTGTAGCCTCCGTCACTGTCCTCCAGCCTCAGGACAGTTCTCTGGGCACATGGGTTCTGAGCGCTCCCTGTGCCGTGCAGCTTTGCTCCTGGCCTGGATTGAAACACATCATAATGCAGTTAACAACTGCGCTTTTACACAACAGGGATATTTTTGCACACCCTAAATCCAAACAGAACTTCCTGTCTGCAGTTTTTTGATTAAACAAAGCTTTACAGTAATGTGGCCACAGCAGCAATCAAGGCAAAACAAGATGGATGTTTACTGAAAGTGAAAGCACGAGCTAAGGCAAAAGGGAGCATTAACAAGAAGAGAAGTCGCTTTTTACATGTTTTGATGGTTCGATCCCTGACTGGTTTTATCACAGAAGGTCTCCCCTGTAAAACAAAAGGAAAATCATTACAGCTCTGTAGTGGTTTCAACCTGTTAAAGATGAAGTCAGTGAATTTTTCCAGATGCATTTTATTAAAATATTGTGGGAAAACGTCCCTAAACCTTAAAAGTATCAAGTAATCATGTGTTTTCAAATAGTAATGGAACTGATGCCTATAGTCTCCAAAAATGAATATAACATATTTTGGAGGGGACCGATAAAAATAAACCAATGGGATTCGTTCATCCCCAATGAACCAATGGGATATGTTCATCCCCAACGAACCAATGGGATGTGTTCATCCCCTTCACAGTTTCTCACGAGTGCACCCGAGTTATCGGATTATTTTCTAAAATCTAAAATGGCTGAACAGAAAATGCCAATTTCACTTTTGCTTCACTCTCCCTGTTGTGACAAAGAAAAGAAAATGCTGGATGTTTGGTTTGGTTTAGAGGGAGGGAAGGGGGGAGTGGTTTCGAGTTGGTGCTAAGGCTAAGCTAACAAAATCACTTACTGCACCTTTAATAGAACATGCAACCACTGATCAATGAGGGTGATGGGTGGATGCATCAAATTGCTAAAATAACGCACGCACCCACACCACCTACACCCACACCCACACCCACACCCACACCCACACACACACACACCCACACACACACTGTATCTTGTCTGTCTTGTTGTATCTGTATATGTTTGTACGTCTGCACTTGCATTGTATGTCTATATCTTCACAATAAAATAAAAAAAATAAAAAAACAAGATTTCTCACTTACGACAGTTGATGAAGCTTCCGTTGAATTCATAGGAGGAGTATTTTTTGGAGCTGATCAAATCGTTCTGGATGCTGCCGTTAATGATGCCAAAGGCTGCTTCAGGGCTGTTGGCTCCAAAGGACAGGTGAGTGCAGCAGTGGTCTTTGAGAGGAGCAGGGGAGCACAGGGGACGCACTTCACTGCCAATCTGTCAAGAATGAACATACAAAACACAGTCTAGCGTCGTTACAAGGTCAGGTCTGATGGAAATGGCGTTTGACTTGGATGGACAGTACAGCAGTGGGGAATACGAGAGGTTAGGACGTCGCATTAGGGCTTTGAGACACAGGACAAACCGCTTCAAGTCCTCCTGTGAATGTGTAATTGTAAATATGCCGAAACGTGTTGCCGTGTATCTTAAATTTCAGCCATGAGAAAATAAAGGCTTTTTAACTCGCTAAACTATTGACCACGAGTGCCTTGGATTTTATTGACTTTCTCGGCTCTTTCCAATCCAATCCAATCCAATTTATTTATAACGCACTAATAAAAACAACACAGTTGACCAAAGTGCCGTACAAAAATAAAAATATAAAAAACAATCAAATATACACATATACAGTGGCATAAGTGGACGATTTGAACAGTAAAAGTCAACTTCCAAACTAGTTAAAAGCCAAAGAGAACAAATGCGTCTTAAGGCGTGATTTAAAAACAGGAAGGGAGTCAGCCTGTCTAATGCACAGAGGCAGCTCATTCCACAGTTTGGGACCAACCACAGAAAAAGCTCGGTCTCCTCTGAGTTTGTGGTGAGTCCGAGGAACCATAAGCAGTGATTGGTCCACCGATCGTAGCGAACGTGTCGGAGAGTATGACACGAGCAGGTCGGACAGATAACTCGGAGCAAGACCGTTGAGACATTTACACACAAATAAAAGAATTTTAAAATCAATTCTGTATTTGATTGGAAGCCAGTGAAGGGAAGACAAAACAGGTGAAATGTGATCATGCTTTCGTGAGCCAGTTAAAAGACGCGCTGCGGCGTTCTGAACCAGCTGCAGGCGTGCGAGCGAGGACTGGCTAATGCCGGTGTACAGACCGTTACAGTAGTCCAGCCGCGTGGTAACAAAAGCATGAATCAACATTTCAAAGTGGTGACTAGAAAGTGAGGACTTTATTTTTGCAAGCTGCCTCAGATGGAAAAAACTGGCCTTCACCACAGCACTAACCTGCTCGTCAAATTTAAAATCCTGATCCATTTTAACACCAAGGTTTGGCACAGTGGGTTTAACAAACTGTGTCAAGGGTCCCAGGTTTGCAGAGGCAACTCTACCATTGCTAGGCCCAACTAGTAGAACCTCTGTCTTTTTATCATTGAAATGCAGAAAGTTAGCGGACATCCAGGATTTGATTTCATCAATGCACTCTAAAAGTTGAGTGGCACTGAACGCATTCTCACGCTTAAGGGGCACATAGATTTGGCTGTCATCAGCATATGACACCCCAAATCTACGGAGAACAGATCCGAGCAGAAGCAGATACAATGAAAACAAAAGTGGTCCTAGAATGGACCCTTGTGGTACACCACATGACAGGGGAGCTGTGGAGGACACACAGTCACCAATTTTAACACAAAAACTCCTCTTTGTTAAGTAGGATCTGAACCATTTCAGAGCATAACCCCGAACGCCGACCGAATTTTCAAGACGACACAGGAGGATTTCATGGTCCACTGTGTCGAACGCAGCTGTCAGGTCCAACAGCACCAATGCCACAGTGTGGCCAGAGTCCGTAGACATAAAAAGATCATTTAAAACCCTAAGCAAAGCTGACTCAGTGCTGTGACGGCTCTTAAAACCAGACTGAAAAACCTCGGAAATCTCATGCTCATCCAGGAATGCCTTCAGCTGGTTAAAAACAATTTTTTCCAAAATTTTGGACAGCAGTGGAAGCTTGGAAATCGGGCGAAAGTTAGACAGATCATTAGGATCAAGGCCAGGTTTTTTTGTTAATGGCTGGACAACAGCATGTTTGAAACTTCCAGGCACTACTCCATTCATCAAGCTTCCATTAATACAATGCAAAACAAAGGGTGCTAATGTGGAAAACACGTCTTTGAACAGGCGTGGAGAGATGGGATCAAAAGGTGAACCAGCGGGCTTCATCTGACTGACAACCTTTTCCAAACAGGAGAGTGTCACAGGCTCAAAATGATCAAATAAGGCTGAGCATGTGACAGAGTCAGACACGGCAACAGATGGGGTGCTGATAAGGGCCCTAGTGGTGACAACCTTATTTATGAAAAAGTTCAGAAAGTTTTCACACAATGCAGGTGAGGCGTCAAGGACATGTGATTGAGGAACATTAAGCGCAGCATTCACCAAATTAAAAAGAACCCGAGGGTTGTTCCTGTTATTTGTAACCATATCAGCAAAATACATCATCTTAGCAGTTTTAACAATTGTCTGATAGTTATGCAAACTGTCCTTTAACATTTGAAAGGAAACTTGCAACTTATCCCTTTTCCACCTTCGCTCAGCTCTCCTACACTGACGTCGAGCAGTGCGAGTGGACTCATTAAGCCACGGATCAGGTCTAGGTTTGGGTCGCCTAGCTTTTAACGGAGCCACATTGTCCAAAATTGACAGACAAGTTGAGTCAAAATGTAAGGAAAACTCTTCCAAATCACAGTCAAAGCAAGATTGATCATTTGCCAACAATGACCGGTTAAAGGCTGCGGAGAACTGAGCAGCAGTGGACGAGTTGAATACACGAGAGCGGCGCGCATTAACGCACGGTTCAACATTACGCACAAGAGGCACATCAAAGAGAATCGGCATATGGTCTGAAAACACCCCATCACAAACTTCCAAATTACACACTGAAAGACCATATGTTAAAACAAGGTCCAATGTATGTCCATGTTCCTGTGTGGGTCCAGAAACAGACTGCACAAAGTTATAAGATTCAACAAGATCCAAAAAGTCCTTGACCATAGGTTTCTCGGTGCAGCATACATGGATATTAAAGTCATCCACAATAAGTATGCGGTCAAATTTCAGCAATATGTCAGCTAAGAATCTGGAGAAGTCACTTAAGAAGTCTTTGTTGTATTTGGGTGGCCTATATACAACAGCACACAACACGGGGGGATCAGAAGCCAAAACAAACACGTTTATCTCAAAGCTCGACGCAGAAACATTCAAAGCAAACGGTGTACATTTAAAGTTTTTCTTGTAAACAGTCGCTACTCCACCTCCACGCCCCGTTGTTCTTGGTGTGGAAAGATAGGTAAAGTCAACAGGCAAGAGTTCAGCAAAAGCACTAGACTCACCGACGTTGATCCACGTCTCCGTTATGCACAAGAAATCCAACCCGTGAGACATAATGAAGTCCTGTAGAATATAGGTTTTGTTCACCAGCGATCTAGCGTTTACCAGCGCTATCCTGGCTGGAGCCACAGTACTGCTAGCCTTCCTGGTAGCCTCGCAGAACGTCCGATCAAGCGAGCGTAAGTTGTGAACATTCACTCCGCGTAACTGGCCACGGGACAAGGGAGGATGACAGGTCAGTGTCCTCTCATCATCCAAACCGACCACAGGAACAAGGTATCTGGTCGGACCATAACGCCTCGAGCCGAAACTGCTGCGCTCCCGGGCAGCAAGCAACAAACCGGCCTTTAGCTTCACCAGCCTTCCACTGCGTTTCCCCCGGCGTCTACGACGCGCTCTGTGCGAGGGTAGAGCCGGACAGCGGAGGTGAGCCGGTATCCCGGACAGGAATGGTGGGCAGGAACTTCCATGCTCCCCCCACTCGATATTCACCAAGTCCAGGCTAAAAAGTCGAAGATCCAGTAATGTTTGGCGATCATAGACCAGCAGAGAATTGACTTTTACTGCAGCAAATGTCAGGATTGCCACAAACAAAAACAGAGTGCGAATTGACAGACGGCGAGCCAAACACACTGGCGCCATCTTGCAAGGTCATCTTTAGGATTTGCCTTTACCTGGAAAGTCAACACTCCACTTTTTGTCGCTCCAAGCTCTCCTTTGTCCCACCTTCAGTGGCACTTTTAAACTTCTAAAACTGTATGTACCATTTAAAATTTTTATTTTATAATTTATTATGCAGGACCTATTATTTATTTTAATGCCAAACAGACTTCAAAGCACTACTGCACTACTTTCCCTTTGGACAGTAAAATTCTATCCATCCATCCATTTTCTTCCGCTTCATCCGTTGCCGGGTCGCGGGGGCAGCAGTCTAAGCAGAGACGCCCAGACTTCCCTATCCACACACACTTCCTCCAGCTCGTCCAGGGGGACCCCAAGGCGTTCCCAGGCCAGATGAGAGATATAGTCCCTCCAGCGTGTCCTGGGTCTTCCCCGGGGCCTCCTCCCGGTGGGACGTGCCCGAAACACCTCCCCAGGGAGGCGTCCAGGAGGCATCCGGAACAGATGCCTGAGCCACCTCAACTCATTTCGACCGCTTGTATCCGCGATCTCGTTCTTTCGGTCATTACCCAAAGCTCAGGACCATAGGTGAGGGAGGGAACGAAGATTGACCGGTAAATCGAGAGCTTTGCCCTCTTCAATACAACGGTCCGATACAGCGACCGCATCACTGCGCACGCTGCACCGATCCGCCTGTCAATCTCACGCTCCATTCTTCCCTCACTTGTGAACAAGACCCCGAGATACTTGAACTCCTCCACTTGAGGAAGGACCACTCCACCCACCCGGAGAGGGCAAGGCACCTTTTTTCCGGTCGAGCACCATCGCCTCGGATTTGGGGGTGCTGATTCCCATCCCAACCACTTCACACTTGTGAATGTCCCAGTGCATGCTGCAGGTCCTGGTTCGTTGGAGCCAATAGGACAAAATCGCCCAGCAACAGCAGGGATGAAATCCTGTGGTCTCCGAACCGGACCCCCTCCGACCCCTGGCTGCGCCTAGAAATTCTGTCCATGAATACAGTGAACAGAACCGGTGACAAAGGGCAGCCCTGTCTGAGGCCAACATTCACCGGGAACAGGTCTGACTTACTGCCGGCAATGCGAACACAGCTCTGGCTCCGGTCATACAGGGACCGGACGGCCCTCAGCAGAGGACCCCGGACCCCGTACTCCCAGAGAACCCCCCAAAGGACACCCCGGGGAACACGGTCGAACGCGTTCTCCAAATCCACAAAGCACATGTGGACAGGTTGGGCAAACTCCCATGAACCCTCGAGTATCCGATGGAGAGTATAGAGCTGGTCCAGTGTTCCGCGGCCGGGATGAAAACCACACTGCTCCTCCTGAATCCGAGATTCGACCGTAGCCTCCTCTCCAGTACCTTGGAGTAGACCTTACCGGGGAGGCTGAGGAGTGTGATCCCACAATAATTGGAACACACCCTCCGATCCCCCTTCTTGTAGAGAGGGACCACCACCCCGGTCTGCCACTCCATTGGCACCGCCCCTGATCGCCACACGATGCTGCAGAGACGTGTCAGCCAAGACAGTCCTACAACATCCAGAGACTTTAGATAATCAGGACGGATCTCATCCACTCCCGGCGCCTTGCCACCATGGAGGCTGCCAACCACCTTGGTGACCTCGGCCAGGGAGATGGAAGTATCCGACCCAACATCCTCAGCCTCTGCCTCTGGGACGGAGGACGTGACGGGGGATTGAGGAGAACCTCGAAGTATTCCTTCCACCGCCCGACAATATCCCCAGTCGAGGTCAGCAGCTCTCCACCCGCACCGTACACGGTGTTGGCAAAGCACTGCTTCCCCCTCCTGAGGCGCCGGACGGTTTGCCAGAATCTCTTCGAGTTTGTCCAGGACCCTCCTGTCCCCTGCACTGTGTCCAGGGAACAGCCAAGGACTGAGCTGGACTTCCTGATGACCTTGTCCAGCTTCTTCCTGTCTAATGACTCACAGGGCTCTTTTCTAAAAATGCAAAACAATAATCAAACAATGTTCTGTTTGATAAAACAGGCTCGGAGTCCAGTGCTTTGGTGGGTTGCACTCCCAGAGTGCAAAAAAAATGGTCAAGACAGTGCAGAGTGTATTTACAACGAAATTAGCAACAAAAAAAACAAGTTCACACTGACACAGAGGTCACCTTAAGTGACCTCCTCTGTAACCAGCGGCAGACTGGGCCACACACGGCTCCTGGCCCCTCCCACCGAGCAAATTATTTTGGTAGAAATTACATTACATTACATCATTATACTCTCAAAACATGCACATTTAATTACGCACATCACATGGGCATAATTACCATTTTACCCACCAGGAAACAGTGTCTTGGTTCGATCCTCGCGCACAGACCCAGAGGAGTGCGACAGACCGGTAACTGTGTGTCTAAATGTATGTCTAAATGTGTGTCTAAATGTTTGCTTGAATATATTTCTGACCCGCACAAGTGTGCACCTTTGGCGGACTAGTAACTGAGCGGAGAGACGGACGAGAGAATGGATGATGCGTGTGGATGTTACGTCTGAATGGAAGGGGGGGGAAAGGTGCGCGAGTGTGGAATGGCGCATGTGTGTGCGTGACGGTGTGTGTGTGTGTGTGTGTGTGCGTGACGGTGTGTGTGTGTGTGTGCGTGCAGCATGAAATTCAGCCTTCAGTGCGCGAACTATAATCGCGCACGTAGCTAGAGACGGACCGCTCCGTCACACTGGCACTGCACCACGCCTGGACTGGTTTATGTGAAGTACGCAAAGGCGCTTACTAACTCAAGTGATAGTATGCATTTCTGATATTTGTCCCGCATGCGTACCTGCGTACCACTTACCCCTGACCATTACAAATAAGTGCTGGACTTGAAAAAATATAATGTTAACAATGTTTAACCCTTTAATGTTCACTGAAAAGAAAACAATTGTATTTTCTTCTTTTTTTTTGGTTTTCTAAGATGTCGGAGCACTAATAACACAAATAATTGGCCTTTAGTAAATGGTTGAGATGCAGTTTGATGGTAAAAGTGCCTGAAATCACGTGATAGAGATGCCCCAAAGAGGTAGATTTAGGTTCCAAGCTTCAAGTATATATAGTGACTAAAAATGCGATCCACCATTAAAGTGTTAAAACCCATTTTCCACCATTAAAGTGTTAAAATCCATTTTCCACCATTAAAGTGTTAAAATCCATTTTCCACCATTATTACAGTTACAGAGCCGGTGTAATTTTCCTCGCACCTTCAACTTCAGCTGGTCCTGGAGGGGCTCCCAGTACACGCAGAAGGGTGTCATCTCGTTCGCCGGGTCTATACGTGTGAGTGGGATGGTGACTGAGCTGCTGCAGTAAACCGTGATCTGCCCGGTTACAGACAGGGCGCTCTGATTGGCTGAGAACACCACGCGGTCGCATCCCGTGGTCAGGTTCACGTTCAGGCTCAAGGGGCCCTGCCCGTGATGCCAGGTGCCACAGAACGTAAGGTCCCGGTCGCCTTCACCTGATACTGCAAAATATAATACAGTATTATAGTAAACTGTAGTGTCATCATCATTTTATACCCCTTTATTATTCAATTTCTGGGTCGGGGGGTGGCAATCAGAGCTGCCACCCAAGTCTCACAGCAAAGCATAGTAAACTGTAGTATTAGAGGTAATAAAACATGCAGCACTAGATACGTTTTGGGTTCTGTCGTTCCAAAAATCAATAAGTTAAAGGGGCATTTCAGACTTCAAACAAGAACACATGGAGAGGGGTTTTCTAGCCCAGTGTAGGTTTTTGCGACTGTTTACAACTAAGAAATTGTCAAGCTTGGCAGTAACTTAATGTATTTTTTTTATCCAAAATCATACATAGCGGACCTTTAAGATAGAGAATGAGCCATGTTTCAAATCGTGCATAAATCTTGGATACGAGGGTGTTTTTGAAATGAAGTCCATGATTATAAGCATCATAAATAATGTTGAGAAGTGATGATGGACATACTAACAGTGGTACGTTATCACTAGTAATCAATCAACCTCTTTATATTGTAATGTTTGCAGTGTATTTTTATGCCATTTCACACCTTGCCTCTGGGACTATAGTTGGAAACCAGCTGTATTGCTAATACTGACACTACAGAAGTGTTTATTCATGTGTCCTGTCCCTATTCAAATAAACTAATTTCACCTTTGTGAGACTGTTAAATATAATAAAAAGATGATAAATTCCTAAATGAATAACTTTATATAAATAAAATAAACACATATTTCACTGTGTTTACTATCAGTATCACCTGTGTCATTGTGAATGACGTCTATTGTGTGTCACTCTTCTTCCGTCCTGTCTGGTTTGTGGTGTCTCTTCTCACGGTTCCAAGAACAAGTGAAACTGCAGTTCGGGGGAATAAATGCGCGATGTCTGCATTTTGTGTGAAGAGGTCTAAGTGTGTGCCACATTGTACCTGACGAGGTTACTATGACGACAATGAAAAGCGTCCACAAAGTTTGGTCCAGTCTTGCAGCCATCGCCGACGACTGTAAAAGCAACACAAGAACATAGCAATTATAATCATGGTAAATTTACTGAATTCACAGTTAAATTATTGTTAGGTATTTTGAACTCTGAGCAGAACCATCCTATTTTAATCTACTATTCCACTAGTTTAGACAGTTTGTGTGTGGGTGGTGGGGTTGGTGGCATGTGCAACCTTACTATCCGTCAGTCTGTCCCAGGGCAGCCGTGGCTTCCATAGTGGCTACCATCACTGTGTGTGGCGTGAATAAAACTGCACTAAAACTGTAAATTATCTTTCTGACTCTGGGTTTTACAGTCAATTGTGTACATTTATGTTGTATTGTGTATTTTGACTGAAACACAAATATTTTCTGTCAAATAATCAATTACCACCCCCACCCCCCACCCCCCCGACCCAGAAATGAACAAATAAAGGGGTTGAAAATGAATTAATTAATAATCAATCAGTGGTTTGAATCAAGCATTTAGTAATTTTGGAAAACAAATAATCCATGCAAAACATCTTATATTCAATGTATCGAGAATTACTTTGTGTTTTTCCTTCTCCCTGGATGGTTGAGTCCTTCAATGTCCGTGTTTATAGCCCTAAATAAATGTTGTCTTTCTTTCAGTTGAAACATACAGCCAACATTCCTTCAAGTTCAGACGTGCTACAACCGCCTCATGTTCGTATCTGGACTCTGGAGACAGACCAAGATTAACCTAAGTTTTCATTATGATACTATTCTTATTATTACGCCTCTGTTGTTATCGGTTTGTCTCTTATCAACAAATCCAAGGCAGTTCAACGTCTGAACACACACGTTTCTTATCAATGGAAACAGTCTTCCCCCGTAACCGCTGTACTCCAGCTCAGTGCTGGGCTTGTTTCACACGCAAAATGAAACAAAAATATTGTTGAATAAGGATTATATTTCTGTCATTATTATTGTAGTGTCCCAGATTATTGCAGGGTACAGTACTATATGGCTAATATTATCCTTTCATAATCAATCAACCTCTTTATATTGTAATGTTTGCAGTGTATTTTTATGGCATTTCACACCTTGCCTCTGGGACTATAGTTGGAAACCAGCTGTATTGCTAATACTGACACTACAGAAGTGTTTATTCATGTGTCCTGTCCCTATTCAAATAAACGAATTTCACCTTTGTGAGACTGTTAAATATAATAAAAAGATGATAAATTCCTAAATGAATAAATGAATAACTTTATATAAATAAAATAAACACATATTTCACTGTGTTTACTATCAGTATCACCTGTGTCATTGTGAATGACGTCTATTGTGTGTCACTCTTCTTCCGTCCTGTCTGGTTTGTGGTGTCTCTCTCTTCTCACGGTTCCAAAAACAAGTGAAACTGCAGTTCGGGGGAATAAATGCGCGATGTCTGCATTTTGTGTGAAGAGGTCTAAGTGTGTGCCACATTGTTCATTATGATACTATTCTTATTATTACGCCTCTGTTGTTATCGGTTTGTCTCTTATCAACAAATCCAAGGCAGTTCAACGTCTGAACACACACGTTTCTTATCAATGGAAACATTCTTCCCCCGTAACCGCTGTACTCCAGCTCAGTGCTGGGCTTGTTTCACACGCAAAATGAAACAAAAATATTGTTGAATAGGGATTATATTTCTGTAGTCATTATTATTGTAGTGTCCCAGATTATTGCAGGGTACAGTACTATATGGCTAATATTATCCTTTCATAATCCTTTACATTGTCTAAAATGCCCACCCGGTCAAAAATATGCAACACAAAATAATTAATCACACAATGTTGGTGGAAAAGCAAAAGAAGTAATCCTTATTAGCCTCATACTTGAAATGAAAATTATGGCTATGAATTTATTCTTAATAACAAATAGTCCTATGTGGAACATTGAAGACAGGCAGGTGAGAATTCCAATAGAATTTAAAGGGACATTTCATGTTAAGGGTTTAATAAAATCATTGCAATTGAAATACAACTTGTTGCTAGAATCCTCATACCTGCGTATAAAAACAAGTGTGAGAACCAAACGGATTTAGAGCCTGGAAACACAATCATCCAAATACATACAATCGAAATCTCCCCATTGTGGGACGAATAAAGGTTCTCTTATCTTATAGTTCAGGCTTTTGTGGTTTGAAAATTAGGTCCCACAAACCTGGCAAGTTTCGAGATTGTGTAGAACTCTGGGTCCAGTTCCACGGTTTGTGAGGAAGATTAAGGTACCCCAGCTTTAATCTAGACTTATTATTGTTTACCCTATTTCTATGTGAGAAAATGATCATGATAGACCATATTTGTTGAAGCGTCCATTGTCTGAGTCTGTGAGAAACCTTCACACTGTATGATTGTTCTCTTATCTCCTAAGGACAATATAAAGCTACTGTACAGCCGTGTGAAGAGATACAGAGCCGGTTGTGGTTATGCTAATCAGAGTAGAGCAGACGGGAACTGACAAAACCTCAGACGACGTGCACGATACACAAGAAACAACATCAAGGAAGTGGTATTTTTAAAAACACCTTAGGTCTCGGTCACTTGACAAAGCAGATGCAAGAGCAGAACCCACAGACTACATCTGCTTTGAACGTCTGAAATTGTATCATGTTATCTGCTTTGTCTCAACAGTTCATCACAGGGATTTCTAATTATAGCAATGGCTCTCTTCAACTCTTCATGTTCTAGAGTTATATTTAATCTAGACGGCAGATACCAATGCAACTCTATTGGAAAGAAGCACTTTTATTATATTAAAAACAAAATGAAATGTCAACGTTTTCCCAGTGTTACGAAGAGAAGGAGACACAGGTATTGAGATGTTAAGTGTCATTTATATACCGACAGCTCAGACTTTTTGGCCAGAAGTCCTTCATCAGACAAGCGTTTTCCCACATTCACAAAACCCGTCATGTTAATCTTCTGTCTGAAAGTAATGTTACCACTGTGAAATCTTGAGGGTTACTACATGCACCACCATTTCAAACTACAGCGTTTGGAATAGTTCAGTGTCACATGAACTAATATAACCAATATATATGCAATATCCGTAATATCTGTTTTTTCTGCAGCAAAAGCCAATGAATGATAATTGTCCATATATGATCATCTTTATTCTATACAATCACAATTGATAAATGTGACATGTTTTGTGACTTTGGCAGTTAAAATAATAATGGTGAATATTGCCTATATTTAAGAGTCAAGATAATAAGCAATAGATTGGCCAATACCAACATTGTCTTTTACCCATCAAATATGGAAAAAAAAAATAGTTTTTTTTTACACGTTTGGTATATAATCAAAACAATGTAACAGATAACATTCTAAAATACAGAAACAGATACGGAAAAAGTAGACCACAAAACTTTTTTTTCTAATACATGACGAGTTTTGTGGTTTTGTCACTTCTCTTTTTAATAAATGAGACAGTGACGTTGAAACAGTTTGATAATGAAACCTGCTTCGTCCTGTGACTGAATGATCTGCAGCCCCCTGTATTTAAGAAAGTAATAAATTATGGGATATAAATTAAGGGGATTAGCATAATAAATCTGTTCTGAGAGGAGCATAGAATGAGGATCAGGTGGTATAAAGCAGAGACTTGTTAAAGTTAACCCTTCAAACACAAAAGAGTGAGGAAGTGGTGGTAGTGGTGCATGAGTAGTTTGAGGTTATTGGGATTACAATAATTATAATAATTATAATTATGCTGTAAAATCTAACAGGCAAAGTACATAATTGATACCTCCAAAAAAATGTTTTATTTTTGATAATAGATTTGTAATTTCCTAAGTCTTTCATACTAAGTATAGTTGGCTCCCTGATGCCCCCCCTGATAAAGAAACCCTACTAGGGTTTGGGAATCAGTTTTATAATTATTATTTTTTTTATTTGTTGAAAGATGCGCTGGGTAACGGCTGCAAGTCCTTAGTAGCTCTGATTAACAGTTGTTGTTTTGTGCTTTACAATTTTTATTTTTATTGCTTTTTTTCTGCCTGAGATGTTGCTTCAGTACAGTGTGCAAAGTTTTGCACTGGTCCAGACCGGAGTGGAGAGGATTTATGGTCCAAACCAAGCGGATCAGGTGAAAATCCACTGGAGGAATGCTGACTTATTGAAAAATGCTAATGAAGCATTTAGCATTTTACTTTGGACGAGAGCAGAGACAATGGGTCAAACCAAGCGGCTACTCCATCTTTTGACCTGTCCTGCTCCACCCAGAGGCTACTTCATCTCTGCTGCTTTGACCTGTCCTGCTCACCCAAAGACTACTCCACCTCTGCTGCTTTGACCCGTCCTGCTCCACCCAGAGGCTACTCAATCTGTGATGCTGCGACCCGTCCTGATCCACCGAGAGGCAACTCGACCTCTGCTGCTCTGACCTGTCCTGCTCCACCCAGAGGCTACTCTATCCCTGCAGCTGTGACCTGAAGGGCTGTGGCTAATTATTATTATTGTTATCTTTTTTTTTAGAATTATCAATTTTATTTTTTATTTTTGCTACTACTGGACACCTGAATTTCTCCTTTGGGGGATCAATAAAGTATCTATCTATCTAATGTGACAGTCCTCAAGACAAGATGGTGCACACAAAAATTATGTTGTGAGATTTCTTTGCAGCCTTTACATTCAGCTGGGTTGTAAAAATTGGTGAAATTAATGAGCAGATTTTGAAGTAGTTATCTCTGAGGACTTTTACGAAACCGACAAATCCGCAAACAGATCAGAGAATCAAACCGTTCAAACACAAGACATGCAATGATTAAAAACACATTGGTCCATAAGTAGCAGAAGACCAATGTCCATAAATGTCCATAAATGTACATACATTTGGTTAAAAGTCAAGTGTCCTGGATCATCACCACCACCACCACCAAGCCTGCTGAGTTAACCCCTTCTTTTGTCACACCATCTCATCATATTTACCCATTCCCACAGCAAACGTGGGCGTGAAGTGACACATCCTGCCCATGAGAAATTCACACATAGCGCCTATGTGTGGTTAGCATCCCCGAGTCCACTCACAGACCCGAGAACCGAGACCCAGCCCCTGTCTGAACTCTGACCACGAGCGACAGAAACCCAGTGTCACCCACCCCCAACAGAACGCCAGGCCAATGCACAAGAGCTGCTCAGTGCTCCTTGCGTCCTCTACGTTTGCATCTGTCGCATACATTAGGAGTCGTACGATAAAAGACAGCACTGTACCCCTCGGACAAGGGGACTCACAAGTTCACCAGAGACTCACAGAGGGAAGCATGAAGCCGATCGCCATCTTCCATTGGAAGCAGTAATCATTGAAAACACTCTTCAATCTATTGGTCCTTTGAGTGATTTGTAGAATTATTATGGATAATTCATAACACTTTTCAAGAAACTGTGGTTAAAGACTTTGAAGGTTCTTTTAATAAGACAAGAAATGACAATTCAAGTTCTTATCTCATTAAAAGAACCTTCAAAACCTTAACCATAAGACGACAAAATGAACTTTTTACATACTATGGTTAAAGCTGAACCCATTCTTAGACTAATAACCACAAGCCAGTGAATTTCCACCTGATGTTTTGGTCATCTGAAGGTCAAAGCTACTAGCGCCGTGGCAGGTGCTGATTGGAGCGTCTATGATTACTCCATCCATCCATTTTCTTCCCCTTATCCCTTTCTGGGTCACAGCTGCACCCAGTACACTAACCCTAACCCTAACCCTAACCCTAACCCTAACCCTAACCCTAACCCTAACCCTGCAGGTGGTGAGTCCACAGGAGCCAACACAATTCTACATGCTTCAAAATCACAATGCAAGCTGTAAAACTGCTCGTGTCGTACAGTAACATCTATAGAATGCCTTCTGCCATACAATATCCCGGACCGATCCCTATCTTGTCTCATTTGACCTAATTCCACACAAAAAAGATAAAATAATTGGTGAAATAAAATGTAGTGAACTGTATATGTAGTAAAATCATCTTGCAGTTTGTCATTCCAGACAGACAGTAGATTAAGATTTGTTTCTGAATTTTGCATTGAGCAGATGTTAAATTGTCCATCCATCCATCCATTTTCTACCCTTTACAGTAATCCATTTCTGGGTCAGGGGGGTGGCAGTCAGAGATGCCACCCAAGTCTCATAGCACCAGCCCCTCACTGACCCTCTGCAGGTGGTGAGTCCACAGGAGGACGGCTGCTCTCTGACTGTGAGCATAGCCTTGATCTTTCAGTGGGGGCTTTGGGCAAAGTGGGGTTAAGTGTCTTGTCCAAGGACACAACGACAGCAGCACTACGGCCCCCGTCTCTGGAACAGTCTGCCGGAGGAGCTCAGGGCCGCAGAGAACGTTCATATTTTTAAAAGTAGGCTCAAGACGCACCTTTTTAGAGTAGCTTTTGATTAGTTTTTATTATTCCATTCTATTTATCTTTTATTATTTATTATTTATTATATTGCTATTGCTATTATTCAAGTATTGTGTGTTCCTTTTGGTCTCACATTTTAGTGTTTTACTTATTGTATTGTTTTTAGTGTACCCAGTGTTTCCTCTGGAGGAGCCCTCTGCACCGGGAGCAGTGGTCGGTGTGGCTGCGGGGGTCGGACTCTTGGACCTGGTGGGGGCCTGGGGCCTCGGTTTCATGTCTCCTCTGGGTCCTGTGTCGTCCCCTGTGGCTACGGGCGGCTCTCTGCTCCTGGTGCAGACGGCTCCTTGGATGACGCTTTTTCAGCTGGTTGCATCTGAACCCTGCCAAGTCTCTCATCATGTTTTTATTGTTTTACTGGTGTGTGTGTGTGTGTGTGTGTGTGTATGAGTGTTCATGAGCACGTGTGTGTGTGTTTGTCTGTGGTTTGGGGTGGGTCTGTTGGGTGGTCTGGGGGAGGGGTCTTGGGTCGGCGGGATTGTTTTTAACCAATCTGTAAAGCACTTTGTGTTGCATCTTATGTATGAAAAGCGCTTTATAAATAAAATTTGATTGATTGATTGATTGATCAGTGGGAGTCGGTGGAGAAGGTGTAGAGGTGGGAATTGAACCCACGACCTTCAGGCCTGAAGGCCAATGCTCTACCAACTGAGCTAGTGTCGCCCCCCTGAATCAAACTGAATCAAAAAAAAATATTTTTTGATTCCATTTGATTTAGACAATGCACCTTGACTCCCACAAACTACATGTTTTGGAGACAGGAGACTGGCTGTGGACCAATAGCACTAATAACATTGACCAAAGTACAAAGAGCAAGATGAAAAACTCTTTGTTGACGAGGGATAGTTCCATCGTCAGGACTTAATATCAAGATGGGGAACCTGACACACTAGTTATATTGTTAATAATAACGAAGTGCAGCCTCAAACATTCTCAATTAAAAATAATAATTGACATTGACTGAACTTGGATCTTAAATCAAATGTGGCCACCGGTATTTGCGAAGCCTCACTAAAAGTATTTGGCTGCATATTTCCTTTCTTCCCTCATAATACAAATAGGGCACTGCACAAAACTTGAAATAAGGGAAGTGCGATTTGTTATAAGTTATTCATTATTGTCCCCATAGTGAAATTCTCAGCATTTGACCCATCCGTTTTCGGTCAGGAGCAGTGGCCTCCGTAGTACATCGAAGTTGGTTGGCTGACACTGTCAGATTAAGATTAGGATTAAGAGATCCTTTATTCGTCCCACAGCGGGGAAATATCAGTGTTGCATCACAAGTTATAACAGTAGGAAAGAGGAGCACACAGCACAGGTTAAGTGAACTATAGCTGTACTAAATAAAATAAAACAGAGATGGCTAGGCTAAATGCTGAATGCAAACGACTCACTTGGGCTCATTACATACAACACGGTAAACTCAGATCCAATCGTTTCAATCGGAAAAAGGAGTTAACCCCTCCCACCTGTAAACGGAGCTCAATGGAGCAAATCCAGACCTCAGTACCAAATGTAATTTGTACTATGGTGCGGTACGACCAGGCTAGCGGCAGAGGGCCACATCAAATTACGTAGGGGGGCCGCAATTGGGCCGCAGGCCTGAGTTTGGACATGCCTGCATTAAGGTGTCTCTTTCCAGGTCGGTACAGCTTTCAATAACAATCAACTTTGTGGGATTAGACCTATGAAAATCCATTTTGACAAGCAAGGTAATAATCTGCACCTAATTCTTTCTATGGTGCCCCTAGGTTAACATAACTTCTTGATTTTTCACCAAAATAAATGCTTTGCCTTGTTCTGTAAACTAATGCTGCTCCTATTCCCACACCCACATACTGTATTGTCCCTGCCTGGCTGCTGGCATCAATAGCGCTGAAGAATTTCCCCTTTTCTTTCACTTCCTAGATCGAGTGAGCTTGTGCGTGAGAGAGGGGGAAGCACAGGAGGCTCAAATAAGGAAAGAATAAAATACCCCTCTAACACACCTCACTTTGCACTTGTCGCTTGACTGCATTTCCCTCCCACCCTTTAGACGAAAGCACTATCACGGTTGACAGACAGACGGCCCTCGTGACCTCCCAGCCGGTTTTCCAGTAAAGTTTGGTATCTCTGCATCATCTGCGGGCATGAGTCACGCTTTGCTTTTATTATTCATGTTCACGAGTACGTCTAGCTAATGCGAAACGACATGGCTGCCAAAACAATGAAAGGAGGAGGGGACGCAAAAGCAAAGTGAAAGTAGACGCCGAAAAATAAAACAAGGGACAGTTTTGAAAGGAATGTTTAAGTTAGTTCTGTAAAGGTTGAACGTTCATACAAAGTGTTGATACCAAGGGGAGAGAGGAAGACCCCACAATACACAAATTATTATTCTAACACAAAACTATAAGACGTTCTAAGGTTGTAAAAAGTATTGAGTGCTAAGGGTAGTGTAAAAACTAGATACTAATTTCAGTATCAATTAAACATAATTACATAAACGGGACAACATTTAAAATTTCTTGAGCATTTCTTGATCTTTTCATTTTTTTAAGTAGTAAAACCTTATGGTCCCATTAAAAGTAATAATATTTTGTTATAAAATATAATCACTGTTTCCAATTGACACTTGTCACTTTTGTTGTACATAATAATTCTCACTTTTATTGTACATATATCCTGCATGTAACATGTTTGCACATTTCTTCCTTTTGCACAATCTTAGTGTCTCTATCCATGCCAAATGTGACATGTAAATTTCTCCTCTGTGAGATAAATAAAGCACATCTTATCTTATCTTGTTTACATAGGGTTAGGGTTAAGAATGGTTTAAAAATACATTTATAGATTTGAGTATTTTTGTCAAAAATTAAATACATAAATAAAGCATCCTGACAATTGTGTGGTAATTGTTTTAAAATATTTAAAAAAAACAATTCTCACCTTTCGCCCTCCGCGGGCGGTTTTCCCTCTCTAAGCTCGGGTCCTCTACCAGAGGCCTGGGAGCTTGAGGGTTCTGCGTAGTATCTTTGCTGTTCCTAGCACTGCACATTTCTGGACCGAGATGTCCGAGGTTGTTCCGGGGATCCGCTGTAACCTCCTCTAGCTTCGGGGTCACTGCCCCGAGTGCACCATCACCACGGGCACTACTGTCACCTTTACCCTCCAGGCCCTCTCCAGCTCCTCTCTGAGACCTTGGTATTTCTCAAGCTTTTCATGTTCCTTTTTCCGGATGTTACCATCGCTTGGAATTGCCACGTCCACCACCACGGCTGTCCTCTGCCCTTTGTCCACCACCACGGCTGTCCTCTGCCCTTTGTCCACCACCACAGCTGTCCTCTGCCCTTTGTCCACCACCACGGCTGACCTCTGCCCTTTGTCCACCACCACGGCTGTCCTCTGCCCTTTGTCCACCACCACGGCTGTCCTCTGCCCTTTGTCCACCACCACGGCTGTCCTCTGCCCTTTGTCCACCACCACGGCTGTCCTCTGCCCTTTGTCCACCACCACGGCTGTCCTCTGCCCTTTGTCCACCACCACGGCTGTCCTCTGCCCTTTGTCCACCACCACGGCTGTCCTCTGCCCTTTGTCCACCACCACGGCTGTCCTCTGCCCTTTGTCCACCACCACGGCTGTCCTCTGCCCTTTGTCCACCACCACGGCTGTCCTCTGCCCTTTGTCCACCACCACTATGTCAGGTTGGTTCATTACCATTCGGTCGGTCTGTATCTGGAAGTCCCACAGGATCTTTGCACGCTCATTCTCCACCACCTTTGGAGGAGTTTCCCACTTAGACCTTGGGGTTTCCAGCCCATACTCTGCACAGATGTTTCTGTACACTATGCCAGCCACTTGGTTATGGCGTTCCATGTAGGCCTTCCCTGCCAGCATCTTGCACCCTGCAGTTATGTGTTGGATCGTCTCAGGTGCCTCTTTGCACAACCGACACCTTGGGTCTTGTCTGGTGTGGTATATCTGGGCCTCTATCGCTCTGGTGCTCAGTGCCTGTTCCTGTGCAGCCATGATGAGTGCCTCTGTGCTGTCCTGTAGGCCAGCCCTTTCTAGCCATTGGTAGGACTTCTTGAGATCAGCCACTTCTGTTATGCTCCGGTGGTACATGCCGTGTAGGGGCTTATTCTCCCATGATGGGTTCTCCTCCAGCACCTCCTCATCTCACCACTGCCTGAGACATTCACTGAGTACGTCATCCGTTTTGGCCTTCTCCATGATGTAGTTATGGAGTTTGGATGTTTCGTCCTGGACAGTGGCTCTCACACTCACTAGTCCTCGGCCTCCTTCTTTACGGCTTACGTACAGTCTCAGGGTGCTGGATTTGGGATGGAACCCGCCATGCATGGTAAGGAGCTTTCGAGTTTTAACATCCGTGGTCTGAATCTCTTCCTTTGGCCACCTGATTATTCCTGCAGGGTATCTGATCACTGGCAGGGCGTAGCTGTTAATTGCCCGGGCCTTGTTCTTGCCATTGAGCCGGCTTCTTAGGACCTGCCTTACTCGCTGGAGGTATTTGGCAGTTGCCGCTTTCCTCGTCACCTGTTCGAGGTTGCCATTTGCCTGTGGTATACCGAGATATATATATATATATATATATATATATATTAGATATACCACACCAGACAAGACCCAAGGTGTCGGTTGTGCAAAGAGGCACCTGAGACGATCCAACACATAACTGCAGGGTGCAAGATGCTGGCAGGTAAGGCCTACATGGAACGCCATAACCAAGTGGCTGGCATAGTGTACAGAAACATCTGTGCAGAGTATGGGCTGGAAACCCCAAGGTCTAAGTGGGAAACTCCTCCAAAGGTGGTGGAGAATGAGCGTGCAAAGATCCTGTGGGACTTCCAGATACAGACCGACCGAATGGTAATGGCGAACCAACCTGACATTGTGGTGGTAGACAAAGGGCAGAGGACAGCCGTGGTGGTGGACAAAGGGCAGAGGACAGCCGTGGTGGTGGACAAAGGGCAGAGGACAGCCGTGGTGGTGGACAAAGGGCAGAGGACAGCTGTGGTGGTGGACAAAGGGCAGAGGACAGCCGTGGTGGTGGACGTGGCAATTCCAAGCGATGGTAACATCCGGAAAAAGGAACATGAAAAGCTTGAGAAATACCAAGGTCTCAGAGAGGAGCTGGAGAGGGCCTGGAGGGTAAAGGTGACAGTAGTGCCCGTGGTGATCGGTGCACTCGGGGCAGTGACCCCGAAGCTAGAAGAGTGGTTACAGCGGATCCCTGGAACAACCTCGGACATCTCGGTCCACAAATGTGCAGTGCTAGGAACAGCAAAGATACTGTGCAGAACCCTCAAGCTCCCAGGCCTCTGGTAGAGGACCCGAGCTTAGAGAGGGATAACCGCCCGCGGAGGGCCAAAGGTGAGTGGACAATTTTTTTTTTTTTATATATATATTTGTTACATGGTTTAAAATTATTTTATTACTGATTTGAAGTGAATAACAGGTCCTTTGTGTCGAGATACACATTGTTTTGTGTTGTGAATATCAAGATTGGTATCGTATCAGCTCTGGAAAATAACCCTCACCTTGTCCTAGCCCAACTGAGAACACAAGTATGATATTAGTTCCAACTTATGATAATTGGACCAAAGTTACTCTTCTGTAACTTTCTAAATGATCAAATTAGATTCCAATGTCTATCAATGTTGCATGTTCAGAAAAAGTTTATATTTTTTTAATTGCATCTGGAAATGACAGTCTTATACCAGTCACACCATTTTTTTACAAACATTTATTATCACATCTGAAATGTGTTGCAACCTGTTCGGCGTGATTGCGTGTTTATCCCGCTCCATAACGCATGCATAAAAATGAGGCAATTATTGTTGGCTGTTTGGTTGTTGAGGGCTCTACCTACCCCAGTCTTGGCTTATGAGAGGAAAGAATGTGCAGGGAAGACCTCCAGGGAACAAAAGACGCTCTTTGTTGTCGGGCTTTTGAATCGTAGCGACAGCCACCGTGAATAGGGGGTCAGAGGTTATGTGTGGGAGATCTGCGGCGGTTAACTTACGCCAATGTTTATGCGACCTGGACAAATAGGCAAATGGCAAACGCCCACAGCTGAAAATCCACAAGCAAATACTGTATCCGGCCGCAAGGAAGTGAAAGGTGTCGGGTGATATTCACTAAAAAGTCCTATTAGATTACTTCAAATAAATCATCAAAGAAAATACATCACACGCCTTATCAAACATAAATTTGTCGTACAGTTTTTTACCCTTAAATATCTTTATCTTGAATGACTATGTTTAAAACCGAACACGCAAGATTTAAGTCCTATATACAGCCTAAATAAACTATATCCATTATAAACCAATGCTACCATTTCATACACTTGTTCTGCATAAATCTGGATAAACATGAAATACCTGCAAGTGCAATTATGGTAATATGTCTGTAATTATTTAATCTGGAAAAGCACGAAACAGATAAGAATCCAATACCTACACAATAATTACAAGATGTGTACAGTAAACCCTTCTCTGTTTCCTAATTAACATGCAATATTTTTGGTTATAAGACTAGGATATGTAGAAACCTTTCTAGAATGACATATCAATGACTGTTTTTGACATAGAAATTCAGAAAAAATGGTGTGGTGGAAGAATGAGCCATTTTTTGGATGTTGCCCAAATATGAAAAAAAATACTGGTGTGACTCATATCTCTTTATAAAGTTACCAAGTCTTAAATTACAACTTAAAGAGTAACAAATGGGCCCAGCAGCCTTGCCTTGTCCAAGTTTAACCTCATCTGTCTTGTTTGCTAGTTTGCAACAATACATGGACAAACTGGCACACAATGGCCGCTGGCTGGGTTATTTATAAGGTCAAATTCAAAAGCTTGGACCTGCATATGAGCTCATTAGGCACATTATGCATGCCGTGCACCATATAAAAGCAAAAGCAAGACATAAATGCACCTGAATGACAAGTGGAACCTCTCCCGAGAAGCCAGAAACAGTCTGCACAGACCAGACAGCAAAGATGGAATGCTCCCTAGGCTAAACAACTCAGCTTTTGAGACCTTGCATTCCTTGTTGCGGTACCATAGTGATGTTCCCAAGCCGGCATTATCTGTGATTTCTTGCAGGGGAAATTTGAGGAGCAGGTGGAATGCTGTAGATGTGTCCTTCAGGGGTTGTGAGTAAATCAATAAACAACGCTTACACATGCAGAGGCACATGTGCACACAAAAGCCGGTAGGTTATTAGTGAGTTGTGGGCCCATAGTGAGGGTCAGGGGGCTTCAGAGGGCTTTCTATTGCTCATTATAAACGATGAATGCAGTTCAGAAGTTCAAAAAAGAAAGTCACAGAGCAAACCATTTCGAAACGTCTATGGGTTTTTTAAAGAGATTCATGCTAAGTGGTGAACATCAAAGCGTAAGAAATAACAGGAAACCACATTGAAAGTGACTGATTTGAAGACACCATCAAAACATACAGTAGGATAAATGTAAAACAATTAATAAATCTATGTCTCTTAGTGGAAAGCTGTGACTGATTGTATTCTATTTACAACAAGGAGTGGGCTGCTGCAATCGCCAATTTAAATATCACTGTCATACATTAATACACATGTACGTCTCAATAAATAATATTAGCAAGGCATTTCAGAGAGTGAAACTATTATTGTATATGGATTCATGACACAGAATAGAACATTTCAACAAGCTTTCGTTTAATTCCTTGTAATTTTAATGACTATGGCTTGGTTGACTGCAACATTCGTGAACCTTTTCACTTCAGCAAAAACATATCTGTGTTCTGCAAATTTGTCAAAAAGTTGTTTTCCTCAAGCAACATTCTTCCACCTGTGTTCTTACTGGCAGTGAATTTGAAGGATTTTGCTCAAGAAGAAGAGGTGAAACTCTTGTATACCATTAAAATAGATCTAGCTGTTTTGTCTTGGTAAAGGGCAAATTGTAAGCCTTTCAATTATTATTTCTAATTGCAATATACAGTCTATTACTTACGTATTTATTCATAATCAACAAATATTACCAACATGAATGTTTTTTGATCGGTGCAATGTAAGAAAATGATTTAAAAGTGTGATTAATTAAATGAGGATACATTATTTATTAGTATAAGCAATTAGCAAAGGCACGTGCGCTACGTCAGGTCAGCGTCATACAGAAAGTAGCTTTGGTTATAAATCAGCTTTTCAAGACTTTGAGAAATCGTAAAGTCTCACCTTTCAGTTTTTGTGTGCACTTCTTATTATTTTCCCGTAAAATGCTGGACACAAAACGGAACGATCAACCCTGAAGTGATGAGGAGAACTCACCAAATGACGCGAAATGCCAAAATAGTTAGGCAAAAGTACACCGTTCGCATAAATTCCATTCTCATCCCTCAAGTTTTAAATGAGAACGCTGTGATAATGTTTGTAGAACAGACAAGATGAGGAGAGGACACTCTCCGCGCAGCCTTTCCCTCACAACTGTCCCTGAACGGATCGCGCTGTTGTGAAGTTCGACAATTTGTAAATACAGCAACTTCCGGGTCCATGGTCCAAAGTAAATGTCGTCATAAAAAAACATTAAAAGATAGGAGAAAACGTTGATGTATCAATATGATAATTCAACAATACAAACAATATAAATGGTATAATTAATTCCGTATGCAATTGAGTTTTATAAATGAAAGTATTCCACCACGTCTTATTTTGAAGGAATACAA